CTTGACCTCTCTCAGATAAGTTGAGTTTTTGTCCTCTTTTGTTGTCTTTTTTGTGTAATTATAACAGATTGATAAAGTGTGTTTGATCCATGATCCAAATTCATCAGCAATGACATTTTAAGTGATATGGTGCATAAGGTGTGACACCAACATTGACATTTTAAGTTGTATGGTACATTGGGTGTGACACCAGCATTGACATTTTGAGTAATATCATGGTATATAGGATGTGGCACCAGATTTGACATTTTAAGTGGTATGATACATAGGGTGCAACACCGAGCATTGACATTTTAAGCAGTATGGTACATAGGGTGTGACACCAGCATTGACATTTTAAGTGATATAGTATGTAGGGTGTGACACCAGCATTGACATTTTAAGTGATATAATATGTAGGGTGTGACACCAGCATTCACAATTTAAGTGATATGGTACATAATTGTGACTCCAGATTCACATTTAAGCAATTTCGTACATAGAGTGTAACACCAGGATCAAAATTTTAAGCAATGAGGTACATAAGGTGTGACACCAGCACTGACATTTTAAGTGATATGATAAAATGGGGTGACAGTATAAACAACAGTACAATTCATATGCTTGTGACATTGTCCATATATAATTGGGTCGAAGACGAACTGTGTCATATTAATGAATTCATAATCTAAACATATTTCGAGTATCTCATATTTAAACTAAGCTTTCAGAACCAGGACATGAAACTGTCAGTTAAATTTGTATTCTGAAGTATGAAAAATAAGATTGGAGGTTAAGTGTTTCCTGGAAGCCTAGTGATTGTATATTTATTTAGAAATATTTGCAAAACTTGTACAAAGAAAATAAAGACAATTTCGGTAAGTATTTAGCCCTGGACATTATTGTAGGAGTAGAAACGTTATGGCAAGTACATTCTTTCTTAAGATATAGGAGTTATAATTTTAATGTTAAGGTTGAAAGTATTTACACATTTCTGTATTTTGCAGAATCTGATGCTTCAATTGTAGTGAAAGCAATTGGTTGGAACAAAATGCAGACTCCAAGGAATATGAAACCATATCCAGGACATGGAGAGACTGAGACTCCACGTCCAGGTCCAAGAGTCCGCCCAGAGGCTGAAGAATTTGCAAATAAAAACAAAGGTTCTCTTGATCTTTTCTCAACAGAGCCAGTGTATATGCCTACACCAAGGGTTGAACCAAAATGCCCGACCTTTGAAAGTAAACAAAATTATGAGTTAGGTCGAAATGGTACAGTAATTACATTACTCAATGGTCAAGCTACACCACGGGCAGATACTATAGTTTCTCGTGTGAGACCAGAAGCTGAGTATATTGCACAAAGTCACAATGGACAAAGTACAGCTAGCTTATTTAACTCCTATGGAAAGCAACCTCTGTCAGCTAGGCAAGTACCTCGGGTAAAGTCAGAAGCTGGAGAAATAGCTGAAAAGTCTAAAGGTGGAACAATGAACTGTCTCCTTCATGATCCAATGAAAATTCCTGCTTCAGCACGAGCAGTGCCAAGGGTAAAACCAGAAGCAGAACAAAATGCAGATCTGGCAAAGGGTGGCCAGATGAACAAGACTCTGCACAAATATGCTTCACCACTATCCAGCCGACCTGTTCCAAGAGTGAAGCCAGATGCTGCAGAAAATGCTGAAAAAGGCAAAGGCAAAGCCATGTCTGATCTAATTGTTAATTATGGGCACCAGCCTCTGGATGTCAAACCAGAGCCGAAAGTAAAGGGTCTTGGAATGGAAAATGCTAATTTGGGCCAAGGAGGGAGAATGTCACGTCTAATGCATGAAGCAAGTAAACTGCCATCAGATCCAAGGCCTCCTCCAAGGGCTACAACTCCAGCAGCTCGTCGTATTATGAAAAAAAGTCGTGGCCAGATGGGAAAGCTTCTTTCACAAAGCAGCAGCAAATTAGTGATGCCAACTGTTGGGTGAAATGAAAACTGAAATAGTGGAACTAGCTGTGTTTGGGTGTCATTACAGGAATAAAGAATGTACACCAGAATAGAGGACAGGAATACTTACTGTCAGGTCCCAGGAGGAAAATATGATAGATAAAATTTTTTAGCCACATTATTTTACACAGGGTTTTAGAAAGACAGGTTCCATCAAGGTATTATTAAACATCCTGCATTGGACTGGGGTTAGATTAGTAAAAAGCCTTCATTTGTCCTGTTCTCAAGATCACATTTATAAATCCCCAGCCACTAAGACAAAGTATTTATGTTTGTTTTGGGAGTCAGAATCATGGTAAAAATTGTTGTTTGAGTTGTATGCACTCACAGTAAAATTAGAGAAGAATATTCTTTTGTTTTGCGATTTGGAGATACTAAAGGTAGTTGTATTGTTGCAAGCTGAATTTTATTGATGTGTCAATAGAGCTAGTCATATTGACAGTATGTCAATGGACCTGGTCATTCTGGTAGAATTTCAGTGAAGGTGGTCTATTGACACATGTCAGTGAAGCTTGTCATGATGCCACATTTCAGTAGAGCTGTTCATACTGTCACATGTCAGTGGGACAGATTAAATGTATATTGAAGACAGTAAAACCACAATCACCTTCATTAAATTCCAAGCACAATGCATACATGGTTATCCTCATTCTAATACAACAAATTTAGTTGATAAAAAAGAGAAAATGCATTTCTCTGTGGGAATATTTCATTGGAATAGTCATGATATGTCACAATGTCTTTGTAAAAATTTCCAACAGTTGTGAGGTGTTTCATTGCCTCCAATTTTGATGTTTGATCAAACAATACATTCTATTCATTAGAGTGTTGAAGTTTTTTAAAAGAATATCCTGTTTTCTTTTGGCTATAATTCACACTGAGCTTTGGTATAGTGCATATTTACTGTTAATTAATGCCTTTTATGAGACTTGTTAATTTAATGTTCAGTTCCCAAATAAAGATATTAATTAGATAATTCATATGTAGCAAACACATTCCCAAGTAAATTGGTTTTTAATTAAGGTCTTGAAATTTCCATTTCTTAATTAAAAGAAATGGTACAATATTCTTATAGCAAGAGTTAGATACAAGATTTATTCTAAAAAAGTTCAAAATTGTATATTACTATTATTTACATTACTTTAGAGGGTACAATCTGGAGAACCTATTTGTAAATGTAAATGTGGTATATGTATCTATATCATTGTAAAGTCTGTCTTAATGTATAAAATGCAACAAAGGAATAAAATAAAAATTAATTTGATACTTAGTATGTTTATTTTTTGCTGCCACTGATCAAGCAAGGTTGATAGCATATGGATAATATATCTATCAATAGAACACAGAATTTTTATATGAAAATATGTAATGTAAAGAATAAATTGTTTATTGTCTAAATCTGTGATGTACATTGAATTACATCACTTTAAAGATGTCTTTATTAGATGGAAATTTAACTTGTCAGTAAAAAATTGTTCCATAAGAGATCAATAGCACAGAACGTACAGTACATACTAGCTTAAAAGATGAGTCCAACTGCAAACTTCATAGACCCATATATGCTATTACATAATGCACTGGATGATCTTGGTTTATGTTAAGAGGAATCAGTAAAACAAAAATATAGACCATGATCTGCTGGTGCATTATGCAGTAGAAGATAATAGTTTGTGTTGTTTCAGTCTGTCCCAACTTCTAGGAAAGCATAGGTGGTACTGTATTTGCTAAAAGCCTTATACAAAATGCAAACATTGCTGTGGCTGGCAGGTTATTCTGTAATTTTGTATTGCCAGGAAGAACCTGAAAATTTAAGATTTACAATTGGTTAATCATAGCTGATCATCAATTTTAATTGATTGGAGATGTTTTAAAAATTAATTCATAGAGTTTATTATTTTTCTGAACTTCAATTCAGACATTTTACAAACACAGTTAATTTTGTCATCTGGCATATTGTTGTCATTTGGATTGTAATTAACAAAGGAATATGTCATGTTTACTGGAAACTGTTATTCATACTTTTTAATTCTTGGCTTTTCAATAAAGTGAAATAGTTAAGACAGTGATTGAAAGTCATGATTAAACACTTGGGTATTTGACTTTTCTGATCAGTGTTTGTTTTGAATAATCTTCACACCACTAGCAAAAAGCACTAGACTACTTAGGAAGGCAACTGTTTCTATCATTTTGTTAGGTATCTCAGATTGATTACATGCCTTTTGAAGAAACAACTGAGTAATTTTTATCTGTGCCAGCACAGTATTGGCAGGGGCTTATAGTGTTACCCTTGTCTGTCCATACTTCCCAACTTGGTTAAACATTGCATTTTAAGTCATTTTAGGCACTGATGTGGGCAATCTGTGTTCCATAAAAACATATTTGAAGTTATTTTTAGTTTGTTTTTAAAATAAGGTCAAGATGAAATTATGGAATGGCAATGCATTCATTATTCATCAGTCAACAATTATGTGCTACTGCTTGGATTATTCAATTCTTAAAATATCCATTTTTGATCAAGCTTGGAATGTTGGCTTATGGTATGAAGATGCAGGATGAATTAAGTAATGAATGAGATCAATGCACATAAAAAAATCTGATCTTGCATCTGATTGAGCTTGTTACCACTCTGATGGCCACATTTCTGATCTGATACTGATCAAACTTTAAATGTGGGCTTATGTCAATACCAACTCAGAAATGTTTGATAAAGTTTGATAATGGTCCACATATTTAACCTATAATCTTACATCTGATTATTTGAACTTAACAAAACTCTCCAAAATGTAAACAGGAGTCAAAGGTGAGTTATAAGATTTGAAAGTACATGTATCTAAAATTGAAGACTTCCATGTACAACTAAAGTCCAGAAGGTAAGTAGGTATTAGAAGACATTATTATCAGTTGAGATATTCTTATTTGTTTTTGTTGATTTTATTTATACTTTTTACACACTGTTGGCTATTCCATGCAGAGAAATGCAATTAAGTGACTTTTTACAAAGACACATTGAGACAACCAGCCTGGGCTGGCCTGGGCAGGTATTGAACCTGTTACCCTTTGATTATGAGTCCAATACTCTACCAAATGAGCTGCAATACCACTGGTCCATGCTTGAGATTAAAAGCAATAATTAATAATTGAAGAGTGGCACCAATGATGTCATGCTGAGAACCTAACTTTGTTAGTCATTAAGCAAACTCATCTGTGTTTTCCAGGAAAGGTATGCAGTAATGTTGCAATTTAAAATTCAGAATTAGCTGCTGTTTTACATTTACCAGTCCAAAAGTATTGTCCTATATGAGCATGCTTTTTAAAAGTTATCAGCCATGATTGATAATGGTAAAAATGTGCTAACAGGTCACATTTTGTGTCAGTCATATGTTTTATATATTCTTTTCATATTTTTGTACATTTAAATATTACACATCTGTTTCAGTTTTGGATGGCATTTATATAAAAGGATATTTATATATTGCTTACACTATGCACTATTTGCTCAGTCATATGAAATCAGGCCCTGTAATTTTCCATTGGCTTAGTGCAGTTTCTTTTCATGTTGTAGTCATTATTAATGATTCCACAGTAATATAAATTATTTGATTGTTTACATACAACATGCTTTTTTGATACTGGTAGTCACAAAAATATATTTTCTATTTTAATGTTTTTATTTATGATAAAAATGTTTTCATTTAGTCATTCTACCATTTGTATTTTTCAATATTTGCATTAATAATTGTTTGAAATAATGAAGTCAGATATGTGATCTGTATGGTGATTCTCTACAAATATGATCTTCTGAGAGAGTGGTGGGTGTTAAGTAATTTGCATTTCCATCATGCACAACGAAAAGAATGTTTTTTGCTTTGCCTGAAATTTCTTTGGATATTGCGCTTGTGGAAATAGCACATGGACTAAGCACACAGCTAAACACAATGGCTGCTCCCATATGTTCAAGAAAATTGGCCTGAATTAATCTAAAGCACATTATCTTTAGGAGAGTCATTGGAACAGGGAAAACAGATTTTGCCAGACTAGATAATACCAGCTTTTGGAAGTGCAATAAATAAAATACAAAATAATTATTTAAAAATTCAGTTTCATGATGTTCTATTTTCACAATTTACCTCTTAAGTCCAGGAACTGAAAATAACCAAGCAGAACAAAGAATGTTTCATAGATGCACCTAAAGTGAGACCAACCCATATAAACTGAAACCAAAATTACATCTTTCAATCATAAACCAAAATAAAGGGAATTTGGATTTATTTTAATAATATCAAAGATATAAAGTATCTTTTTAAGTAGCCACAAAAATATAACCAGGAAGAAAAACCTGAGAAATTCTTTTTCTCTATAAATCCAATACAAGTACAGAACTGTAGCATACCACTTTATGTATGCTGTGCTCCAATTTTAAGTTCTACCATAGTATTTTGACAGGTCTGGGTCTATGTTGTAGACATTAATTTGAGCAGTGTAAATTCCACTCTGTCCAGCATATTATGGGATAGCAAATGTTTTCATTGCTCATTATTGTGAGCTATGTAGACTTTGCTTTATTGGCAGATCTGGGACTGTGCTGTTCATGCCTTTTAGTATTTTATATACATGTAAATGCAACATAAGAAAGAGAACCAGTCTGCTCCTTTACAATATATTACAATATTAGTATAATAACCTGTGTGATTTTATCTTTTTCTATTAGTCTCTTGTGCATACGTTGTCTAATTTTTTAATTCTTTTTGTGGTACATTTTGTTCTATTTTTACATGAGTAAGGCAGCTGAGCAGGACACGTTGAACCAAAAGTGTCACAATACATGTATAAAGAAAAACTCTTGTAAATTCATTCAGTTCTTAAAAATAGACCTTGAGAAAATGGTAGATAATAAAGGCTGAAGTATGATTGATATGTGTGTGTATGGTCCATATAGTGAACAAATTAACATAATTCGCACGATTCTACCAATGAAACAAATACAAAGGAAAAAACTCATTGTCATATACAGTACCAGGACAAAAGAAACAAAATATGATTCAATGTATAACACAAAAGTGAAAGTACAAACTTTTCACAATGGCAAAACAAATGTTTCAAAATAGTGAATTGCAAAACAAAATGATGTTTCACTAAAAATAGTGAATTGAAAGTTTGCTCACTCAAAAATAGTGAACTGACATTTCACTTTTTCAAATACTGAACCGATGATTTTCTCACTTAATAGTTAATAAAGCAGATATCACTATATATCTCATTACCACAAAAACCCTAAAACAGCTCACGGCCAAAAGATTACATGTATGGAGCAATGTTTATACTCCCTTCAATTCACTCTTTGCTACCAGTTCCACTGGCCAAACAAGCAATGATTTGGTAGTCATTGACCACCATTTATTCCTGGGTCCGACAAGCAATTAGTACCCACCACTTTGGTCTGCAATACACGATCACCTGCAACCCGACTAGCAATGATCAGCATGGATCACTCCAAGCATTGTTGAAATATTTGAAGCACTCGAAACAGCTCAAAGTAGCTCAAAAACACACACATGCAGCCACAGCCACAGCTCTACAGTTCTAGATCTCTACAGCTGCACGCAGACACAGTTGCAAAGTAGAGCTTCCGATTGACAAAACAGTCCATAATGTAACAAGTTATTTACAATGGGAGGTATTTATGCACAAATGTAGCTCAACATCATTGCAATTCATGTATTTTCCCATCCAAAGCACTTTACATGTGCAGCAGAGCATGAACTGAACTCACTTGTTTTGAAATAATGTACAAAACCAGAGTACATTTACTTGAAAAAAAAATCAATTTAATCAAATTTCGTGACAATGACCATTCCTTGCTTGTATACCTAAAAATTCAAATAATTTCAAATCTATTTTGCCCTGTGACAGTATTATACCCAATGAGAGGTTTAAATCAAACAGTATGCAAGCCATTTACCTGAATTTTTTATCACTTACTGCTTCTTTGTTTTTAAATAATTTCTTGATATCTTTATTAATAAAGCCTTTGTTTATGCATTTTAATAATGAAATTGTAATATTTTTAATCTAAAGTTTTTTTATTAATGCATTCTGTGATGTATGATGTACATAAAAAAAATTTTGTTTTAAAAGTATCATTATGTCTGTAATGTGTAGTGTCACTTGCCTGTGGTCCTTGCTATTAGGTTCATTTTAAATTATTTGATCTGTACATTTTACTGTAGATATACATTATACATCACATCTTTATACCTGTTTTAATGTGATAATTGTTTTATGTCATATTAGTCTAATGAGCAGTTTTGAGTTTAAAATTTTATGATATCCAGATCACAAGTATAAAATAAAATTTCTTGCATCTATCTTGCATCTTACGTTAGACATCGGTCATTTGTTGTTTTCTCAAACTTTGAATAGACTGTTATAAAATCTTAAGGCAGAATGAGTCACTGTTCAATCACATCATGAAAGTTTAGCTTGTGCATTGTTTGTACATCCGAGCTTACTGAGTAGTTTTAATTTGATTATAAAATTGTATTTATCAATCTAAAATGTCATAATGCTACTATTGTTGAACCACCTTCTATAAAATAGTCACTATCAGTCACAAATATCTATGATAAAGATATAACACATTCAAGAGAAAATCGTAAAGTTTATAGAAAATAGGATCCTAAACAATACGTCCAATTATCTCATCCTTAGTGATTCAACGATTCAGAACAATCCTCAGTATGAAAAGGTATCCACTGGCATAATACATATACATGGAGATGTTATGAAGAGTATAAATAAACAATCAGATTAGCATTCATATGTGTCACTTTATTTATTCACATAATAAAAATACAAACTCAAATTCATCTGTAAATTTTCTTTATAAATATTTTCAAAATAGTTTACACAAATACATTTATACATAGCTACAAAAAAATCATCTTCACATTTTCAAAAACATGCTCTTCATCATAATATAAAATCCATTTTTTATTGCAGCATGTCAAATATTTCTCCGATACATAATATGTACAGTATTTTCACTTCAATGTTAAACAAACTTTCAAAAAAATTAAGGCAATATCACAGAACTTTGGAATATAAGCACTTCAATGGTGAAATTGATAAAAATTGAGGTTACTTTTAGCTAAAATGAGAATCTGGAATATTTGATTTAATTTGCTTCAAAAGAGTTTTGTAACAGCTATTTTGATTTTAACTTATTACTTTAATTTATGCTTTATGTACAAATACTAAGAGGACTGCTCTAGTGGTCTAAGTGGTTGGAGTGCTCACCTTGGATGCAGGTGGTCCTGGGTTCGATCCCAAGCTGAGTTAAATCCAAAATCACACACGTACACAAATACTCTCTTGTAATATTAGTAAGTACAAATTCCTTCTTATAATATTATTAAGAATAAATAAATAGAATTTGGTAAAATTATTATTTGGTGCAAGAACAATATATATGTATACACAAGCCAGCCATCAAGAACAATTATAGTAGATGTACAGTGGTCACTCTCTGCAACATGCCTCAGTATGACATATCCCTGATATAACATGGGTTTTACCTCATTACAAAATATATCAATATAACACAGGCACTGATATCACATGGGTTTTACCTCATAAAATGCATCAATATAAAAAAGGCACTGACATAACATGGGTTTTACCTCATAACAAGAAACAAGCCCAAATATAACATGGGAACATCTCATTATAAAGTAACACAGAATAAGACAGACACATATATAACAGTTGCTACCTCATTATATGGCACCTAATTATAACAGGCTCAAATATTACATGGGTTGTCTATTATTATAAAATGAAGCCTCAGTAGAACAGTTAACAAGGGTGGTCCCTCATTATTGGGTTTTAAAGTATAACATAGATGGTCCATCATTATAAAATGACTTAATGTAACACATACCCATATATAACAATTATATGATCACTGAACCCACTATACTGACTCTTAATTTTGAAATTGTATCTTAAATTCTTTCATCTAATTTTCACTGGTGTAAAATCACATAAGATATATCCTAAAATAAAATTATTTTGCAAATTAATTACAGCACTCCCTCAATATAATATT